TTTCTGCCATGTGGATTTGCGGGTGCTTTGGTAAACAGGCTCACAGAGCAAATTTTCAGCCGGGAAATTTCTTTGACGATGTGGTTTCATTTATTTTGGGATGACTACTGAAAGTATTACAAGGACATCCCTATACCGTACCCCATATCCAAAAATCTCAACGGTCCAACAGCTTGCATGTTCGGGTTCTGTGAATTCGACAACACGTATCAACACGTGATATTGATCTTGGATGGGTGTTGTGGCGGAGTGGTGAAGGCAAGCAGCTGCTGGCCGCTTCGATGCGATCTTTATCAGAATCTGGGCTCACAATTCGACGGACATCTTCCAGCTGGTTTCAACGACTTCAACAAACAAGACGAGACTGTGGGACTTTACCCGACACCAGAATAAGGTGAACTGCAAGCTCGTGCCGTGCCACTTTTAATCTCCGGCAAGTTCAATGGACCACCATCGGAGCATCCATTAATTAAAACGGAAAATGCTGACAGGAACGTATGCGCCCTCGAATCAGCACGCCTCATGCTCATGATCTCCACCCTCGACGCATTGTCGGGTAACCGTCAAACGGGAACACATTGGTGTCACATGCTGAGGTTTGGACTGCTGCACGGGCCACGGTCTGAGGGAATGTAAAAACCTGTCAAGCCATGTGGGTTGGGCTACTTGCATGGGGCAAAGATAGGTGCCGTTTTCAAAGGGACGGTTGCTGTTGGCTGCGACAAGGCAGATCTCATAGCCATCTGCTGCCCTTAGAAGCTTCACTCGCGAGCCGTCTTGCTCGAAGAACTCTTCCGCTGACAAGGTCGGGTCAGTGATCACTTCAGCGGTCTACACAAGCTCGACATGATCGAAGAATAAACTACATGCACCGACTCTAGTGATAGCTAGCCACCTAGTCACCGCGGTTCGCCGTGAGACGCGCCCGGAGCCTTGCACATGAAGTGTCCAGCATCGAAGCCCTCGAACATGGTGAGCTCAATCTGGCACGACATGATTCTCTACTGAACAAAGACATTCCTGAGTGCAGGCCGCGCTGCTGACCTAGAGCAAGTCAGAACATGCAGGGCCTCGCAGTTGTATGTCAAGCTCAGCTGATCTCGCACCTTATCAGCAGCACAGGATTCAAGCCACCTCTCCCCGTGGAGCGCTTGTGAACTTCACTGCGCATACTGGAGAAGAGTGCTCCCAGGGACCTCGACCGAGAGCCTCGAATGCACTAGGATGGCTGAGCTCTCGGCCCGTCCCAGAAGTCTGGCATTCAAGCCTCCATCAAATGTATTCACAGGTCTTTGACAATGCAATAAGCACCACGTTGCACTTCGGAGTCTTGGCTTCGAGTTGCTTGGAACGAGCGAAGTGTCTGCCGACGTGCCGAACAGGAGAATTGCCAGGCTTTGGAGAGCATTCCCACCCTGCAGCGTTTTGCAATCAGAGCGCCTGACAGGAAATACTCGGGCAACGAAAACGTGCACTCGAAGAATAAAATAAACATCTGATGACTTGCTGCTTTCCCACACTACAAGTACCATAATGAAGCTGTGTTTCGGCTCACACTGTACACTCACACTGTACACGATGCTGCGAGCGGCTACCCGGCAGATAGCATTGCGCATGCCCGATTTACGCATCTTCGCAAAAGGCAACGCGCCCAGCGACTGTTCCTAGGGCAGTCTAAACCACACTGGACCACCCGATGCCTATGACCTATAATCCAAGAAAGCCAGCAATACGTAGCAGCCGCATGGCAGCCGTGCAGGAACGGACAGTCAAGTATTGTTTGACCAGTAAAACTCCTTGAATGTAGAACTGAGAGCTCGGCATTCCATCATGAGCTGGGTGGCCTTAGAATGTCGAGACACGCAGCTGATGCCCCTCGCAAGCATGTCTGGCTGAAAGCTTGGAGGGGTGGGCATGACGGGCTTTGCTTCCGCGGCAAGCCGGCTGCTGCTGTCAGCAGTCCCCGGACTGGGTGACCGGCTCGGGCTGGGTACAATGGATCCCTCAGCGTAGCGGCGTGGCAGTGCAAGCTTCTAGTGGACAGCTCTGCAAGCAGAAAGGCAGAATGCTAAGAAGCAAATATCCCTGGATCAGGGTGGGTTCGTTTCTTTAGGAGAAATGCTGCAAAGGCCATGGCTGCTCTGCTCGAGGCCCCCAGGAAAATCCTTTGTACCTGACGGGACCGTCGTGAAAAGGCCATGCAGACTGGAAGATTCTAAGATGCTTTTGAAGGCTAGAGGCGACGACCTACGGCGTTGCGACGGAATCGGCTTTTTCCAAGCCTTCCTCAACGGCAAAATTCCGCCGGCTTGTGCATGTTCTGTTCCGAGCAACCCGGGCTTTGATGTCAATGTGAAAGTTGCACTGAGAACGCTATATTCATGCTGTGCAGACAGTTCATATACTTTCGATTGTAATTAGCTGGCGGCTCCCCGAAGGGAAGCATGCCAGATACACGAGTCAAACATGTGCCTCGTAGCTAAATCTGATACTGCAGCACAATCGCAAACTGCCCTGTGCGGAAGGGACCTAGCTGTCCTCTGCCAAGTCTCGTCTCCACCTGTCACTTTGCAGATCTTTACGAAGTCTTTCTTGAACAGAGTTGCAGCGTGGCTGAGAAACTCGCAAACTCACCGCTCGGACGTTGCAGTTGAAGCTCCGCACATGTTGTTCCACTAAGGGACTAGCGCTATGGAAAACAGTCTGTTCAAATGGCACATGGCAAGACCGAAGGAATCGCACAGTTTGCAATTCCGCAGATTAAACTCGCGCGCTGCTGTAGTTTCTAAAGCAGCGCCCTCAACGCAGATTATGCTCTGCACTTTGCTGTTGTGCGTGCAGCAGATGGAGCCACAAGGGCTGCTCAAAAGAAGAAGCTGTGGCGCGCCATCGTTGGTGACCAGCGCGCTACAACCACCTCTATGCAGACTGTCTGGGCCACTAGGGACCAGAGAGTCAGCCACACAAAATTATTGACAAAATCGTCCAGGTTCTATGCATGTACATAGGAGTACTACCAACACTGTCGAATTAGTGCTGCTGGGTGCATCTCACTTAAACGTTTGGCATGGCGTGTCGTTTCGGTGAATTTCTGCCATTCGAGGAATCCAGAGCACCAATGGAAGTTCGGACCGAGGGAATTGCACAATTTGCAACTCCGGAGATTGAATTAGCACGCTGCTGTATTTTCTAAAGCAGCGCCCTCAGCGCAGATTATGCTCTGCCCTTTGCTGTTGAGCGTGCAGCAGATGGAGCCACAGGGGCTGCTCAAAAGAAGAAGCTGTGGCGCGCCATCGTTGGTGACCAGCGCGCTACAACCACCTCTATACAGACTGTCTGGGCCACTAGGGACCAGAGAGTCAGCAATACAAAATCAATGACAAAATCGTCCAGGTTCTAGGCATGTACAATGTACTCAGGAGTACAGACACAGCTGGCGAATTAGTGCTGCTGGGTGCCTCAAAACTTTGACCTCTGGTTTGGCATATCCTTGAATTACACTGCTGGCGTTTTGAAAGACCCACAGCGGCACAGCCTCACATCAGTTCGGAGATGGGATGCTCACCTCAAGGAGTGTTCGGCCGCAGGAAACCTGGAGTCCTCTCGGGGGCCAGGCAACGGCAGCTCGGAAAGTCTTCCGGCAGGGAATCCTTGCGAGTGGGATGAGGTGCCGGCAGTGGCAGCTTTGGAAGCTGTGCTATATGCTTGTCGATTGAAGCCTTGCTTGGCATCACAGCTGCAATGACCGGCTCGAAGACTGGGCCGTACATGGATTTCACACGATCTTCGAAGACGCCATAGATTCCCTGCTCCTGCATGTAATTGCGCAGCATTGGCCCGGTTCCGCCCAGCATAGCTAAGATGGTGGTAGCTTTGGCATCCCAGGTGGCCATGGGTGCAACGGCTTTTCCAGTGTTTGTAAAGGACTCTATGCTGCCAACAGGTGTTTGCACCCGGGGCATGGACAGCATGTGGTTGTACCACGCGAGACCAGCAGCTGAGTCCACCAAGATCGATGGGAAAGCCGCATAGGGGGTAAGGACTGTGTCTTCCTTGAAACTGAAAACGGGCTCCTCCGCCAATGCCTGTATTCCCACAGCACTACAGTAGGGATGAGCGTCACACTGCACACCATTGGGCGCATTGACCGACGCCATCAAGCCAGGCAGCTCCTGTTGCACTGAATTCTCCAAGCGAGCGAACTCACCGTTTGCAAAGAGGTGCCGGACCAGTGGGATGTCCAAGTATGGGAGCTGCAAGGTCTTCCACTGTTCATGCGCGGAGAACCAATACCCTTTCTGCAGGACCATCTTCGTGTTGTCGGCGGCTGTATACACAACAGGCTCGACGTGTTCTGCTTTGATCTTCCACATCAGTTTCCTGTCCTCCTCACCATTGTTTGGGTACTTGGTCCAGTTGCCGAACATGTCCAGGAAGAGAACAATCATCTCCCCTTCGAAAGCATCCCAAAGAAACAAGCCGTTTTCGTTGTGAGCATTGGAAGCATTCTTTGCAACATCCACAGTGATATTGTCGAGCTCACTGACCATGCGCACCAGACCGGCCCCGTGGTAGAACAAGCTAACAACTGAGGCCTTCATCCGCTCCAGGCGAGCCTCCCAGCGACGGCCCAACTGAGCAAAGCGACTGGAGGCACCTTCCTGCGCAGCACGGCGTTTCAGAGCATGCACCACTGCAACAGTGCCAAATGCAAGCTGGCCGTTATCCAGACCAGGGAGTCTCTTATTCCAGCCAGACACTGGCGTCATCCTTGCTCCAGGCTCCGCAAGGGTCTTGCAGTAACCCGCTTCATTGATGCCACGCGAACAGAACCATGGCATGAAGCCCCCGAAGCCCGGGAAGCGTGCATCAAAGTCCTCCATGGTTCTGGCTTTCTTCTCCAGGATGTCGAGTGCCTCATCAGTGCTATAAAGCAAGGGCAACACCGTGGCCAGCTCCGCAGGCACGTCGTCGGCTGGCTGAAGGGCCAAAGCCAGGAGGCTCAAATGCAGAGCCTCTTTTGATGGTGCCGAGAACGTTCGAAGAGTTTCATGCTGCACATCACCCGTCTGGTAGTCCAGGCCAACGCCGTCGTAAGTCATGCCAGTGTCGGGATCGAAAGCAAGTGCTGCTGCTTCTCCAAAGAAACGACGCTCGACGTGCATCACGTTCGCCATGAAGTCTGCCCGGGTCTGCGGATTGTACCAATCGGCCTCTTCGAACTCCTTCGCGAATCGGCAGCATCCAGTGCTGGCAAGTTCAGGTGCCATCGCATCCGACAAGCTTCGCTGATTGGCACCAGTCGCAACCGGAGGGACACTCTTCGAGACCATGAAGACAAATCCCACGACCAGCAAACCTCCGACGCCACAAACCACTGGTCCGGTCCGGCTCTTACCCGTTGTGGGAGGCTCGGGAACAGGACTCTCGGTTCTGACCTCGAGGAATCTCGGGCAATCTCCTCCGAGCGCCATTGCAAGACTCGATGCCTATAGGAGGCTTGTGAAAGCAGATGATTGCCCGCAGAAAATCCTCGAGCCACGAAGTCAAAGGGCAGCGCGGCCTCGGCTTTGTTCCTTGCTGGAAGTCTTCCTGCAGATGCGCATGTCCCGGAGTAGCTCCTGAAAAGCTGGGTGCAGCACGTCCCCAATATCCAGGTGCGGTCCCACCTCAACTCACGCAGACACACTGAAGGATAACGTCCGTACTCTATGTACTCTTGACAACGTGTACCTTGACGAAAAGCTCAGAGCGTCAGAGAGGGACGAAGTGCAGGCCAAACGACGAAGCTACCGACAACCGCGCCGCGGTCCAAACGAGCGGGAAAGCGACATCTCGATTTGGAGGGTTCCGCTCAAGGAACGGTGACAGGGTGACAAACTCGGTTTGTAGTTGTAGATAGGAGAATCTGAGAACTCCGCCAACCATGACCATGGCCCGAGCCTCCTTGTCAGGCAAATGAACCTCGGGTCGGATTTGCAAGGTGGTTCTTTAAGGAGGTGTTTCCTTCATCAAGGCTTCGCAACGGTCTCATCGGACTGGATCCTGCATCGGTCTGGGCCCTGGACTCGCAGCTCAGCCCCGCGACCTTGGACAGTGAGAAATTTGATGACCACACAATGCGAAGAATGAAGGAAAGCACACATAGAAGTGTATAGCCGCCTCTTTGTCACGACCAAGATGCTGCTGGCGGATGGAGTCGGGGCTTGGAAGGCCTGCCCCATGCAGTGTTTGCAGATCTCCGAAAGCTGACTTTCAGGGCCGACCGCCGTAGTCACCTTAGGCAACAGCGGCCTCTGTTTGTAGCAGTTTCTCTAGAGTCGGCTACCATCAGTAAACTATTCATATAGTATTGCAGTGAATTCAAATTCAATCGGAGCAGTCCACACAGGAAGAGCCCTCCAAAAGCAAGTCAAAGCGTCCTGGTCGCTCGCACTGCTCGGAAGCGACCCCAAGCATCGGCAAACCTGATCGAAGCACCGGAGTTGTGCTGATGCAGCTTTGTTTGCTGTTGTCTTCTGAGGGGCGGATCAGGCTTAAGTCAAGCATAGCAGGTGCCGACTTCGACACAGTGAACCCGTTCTTACATGCTCGTTGATACAGCATTACCAGCTTCCAGTGTCCTAGGTCGTTCAGAAGATGCGTTCGGGCCCCTATCGGCTTTCCCCGGCCGACAGCCTGCATCAGCAAATGGATAGACAAGCACGCAGCACTTATGGCCAGCTTGGGTTCAGCAGGACATCATGCAGGCACAGTCGCTACCACGTCAGCACTTGGCTTTTTACAAGTGCCTTACAGCGAGTCCGGCTATGTAACTGCACTAAAGAATTGTCAACGATCACAAGTCTCCGCCGACAATGATCTGCGCAGCCTCCCGCTCCAGCATCTTTCTCATCTCTGCGATTGCCTGCGGCTGAGCCAACACATGGCAAGCCATAGCGGCGCACAACCAATCACATCTAAACATACAAGTGCACGTCAGAAGCCTCCGTACTTTCGTAGACCGGGATGTCTCTAGAAAATCTTCCAGAGCCCGCATTGGTTTCCGCGCGCGGCTAGTCGGCTAGTCGTGACTACGCCCATCCCAAGACGGACACGCTCTGCACAAGGACATCTTTGCGAACCGGCATGTCAAAACACCACGCCGAAACTGAGTTCAGCTTGGCCGGAGCGAACCTCTTCTTCTTCGACCGGCGCATCGTCCGAGGCTTCTTCGAAAGACTCCTCGTGCATGAGGCCGCTTGCCGCACCTCGAAGGCTAATGTGAGACGGCAAATTTTCTGTGAAGTGTCATGGAGCATGTACCGGAACTGGACCAAAAACTCCACTTCGCACTGGGCAGCCCCCGCTTGCATGGGAGGGGATACACACAACGAGGTCCAGTTCCAGGCCAGCCACCTGGGCAACGTGAAGCTTCGCTGCATGCCTTAATCCACAAGTCATAGCCCGGAAGCTTGTATTGCGCCTGTCTGCCTCAACTCAAGACCAACATCTAGATCCTTCCCATTGTGGAGCTAGTGCTCAAGCTTGGAAGAGGTAGTTCCAAGGAGAGACCTTGCAAAATTGCTCATGCTTGTGGAAATGGAGGGTCCCCGTAAGAAGACGGATCGGAATGCTGCAACCGTGGTTCGTAGACCATGCCTCATGAAAGAAGCTTGATGCAACAGCTACAAGCAGGTTGCCGACAACACGGCTGCTGCGAAACGAGCGAGTCACCCAAACAGATTGTGCGGCAGCCTCGAGCTTTCTTATCGATATTTCTGCGAAGGAACTGCATGTCTTGATGATCGCGCACATACACCGTACCGCCGTACCTCCTTGAAGGTGACTGGGCGCCTGAGTAGTGTACTGGGCAAGACAAAAAGCTCAGGCCTTGACCGAGCCAAGCTGTTCCTGTGCGGCCTTCTTCATCAGGCCCAGGGTCAGCCTGAAAAGCTAGGAATCGAGGGAAACTGTCAACCCGTGCTGATGCACCGTGCCGAGTGCCAGTGTGCAGATGAATTGCACATGCAGCACACTCTGCAAGAAGTATCTGGGGCGCCAACTGGTTCACCTGCAGCATCGCTGCCTCATCCAGCCTCGATGCAAATCACCAAAGAACGGTGATTTGATGCAGATTGTTTCTGATATTCAATGCACGCACACCAAGGCCCGCAACCACCGATGTGAGGGATACATGCGCTCGAGGAGAGCCTCTGCAATACAGAGCATGTCAGCACCATGAACCGGTACATACCGGTACAAGCTCAAATACAAAGCGCTGCACTTTTTCACACAACAGTTGCTGCGCAACTTCTGTCAGTACGCAAAGCAAAGAGCAAATTCAAAGCAGTTTCTCTGGACTGTGATACATGCACTTGCAAGCAAACTTATCATCACGGTCATGTGGCGGAGAGCGCCGCATCAAGTCTGCCAAGACAGGCCTGGCGCGAAGCGCCCTCCAATGACTTTTCCCGGAACGTGGTGTCGCCTGCCACGCATCTCGAAATAACGGGTAACAAGGATGGGCATCTGTGTAACTCAACTGAAATGGGGGGCGCGCTATCCCTAGGCTTGTTCGCAGGAAAGCCTGCCTCAACTTCAGCTACTGCACTCCCAGAAGCCCACCTTTCATCCGCAACTGTGCATCCGCGAAGCCTTGTAGATTGAACCTGCTTGGGTTCTTGCATGCTATATACCGTTCGGACACTTCGACTCACAAAGTGGTTCAGGCAATCTGTGCGAATCCCTTGCTATCCTTGCAGCCACTATCGACGTCCCAACAGGCTCTCTGATTCGGCTTGTGTCACACTCCGTCGCCGTCCGATTGCCGCAGAATGCATGTATGTTGTATGAAATCTTTGGTCATTATAGAATGTGGCATTCTCGATATCTAGATGTATGTATGTATGCATGCATGTATGGAAGTTTAAGCATACATACCTATATGTTATATATGTATACATGAATATGCTGAATAAACTGCATAGATTACATAGACACACATGACACATACACATGCACACAAAAGCTACAGACGAGTAAGTAATTCTGTGTTGTGCATTCTCTTTTGCTTGCTTGCTTGCGAGGCCAGGAGGGTCGACGCATGTCTCCCCCCACCCCCCCCCACGTGCGTTTTCGGGCACTGCGGAACTAAGTGCGCATAATTTCTGCAAACCAAGCTCCAACGCCAACACAACGGATCCCTGAGAATGTGGCTTCGGCTCTTTCAGTGCCCAGTGCAGCCACTCCAGCCTTAAGGGCTCGGAACACTTCCTTGCGATGCCCGGAAACGAGATTTGTATGCCCGGGCATTCTTCTCAGGACCGGTCGCTGCTCGGCAGGATGCAGCTGTCGGAGGGAAGAAGACATCGAGCTGCAAGCAGGTGCCGGAAAGAACGCGAGGATGAGGGCACGACATGCAGTCTGCAAACACCAACAGTCTGAAGTGATATTTTTCTCGCGCAGCCCTTCCCAATGCTTCCTCCAAAGCGTCGGTACCAGCTTTGAAATCGGTCTGCACGGAGTTCAAGGCACGAAAGAGCTGAACCTGAGGGCTCACGTCGCCAACATCCATGCTTAGTCGCACACGATCCAGCTGCCTGCCTCTTCTTGGCTCCATTCGCCCACAGCGCAGTCTGCAGAGCCACAAACGGCATGTCGAAACAACAAACTCTCAAGAACATCGCTTCGAGATCCGGACTGTCTAAAGCATGCAGCATTGCACGGGAAGCTCCCATGCCTCGGGAGAGGCATGCAAAGCACACTCTGCAAGTGATGCAAACGACAAGACGAATTGCCAATTCCCAAGGATCATCTGAATCTGAAACCGTTTCACAGAAAGGCTACTAAGATCGAATTCTGCGACTCAGCATTCTCGTGCCTGCATTGCAGGCCATCTGGGTCCCCTGCGTCCGGCAATCTCATCAGATGCACGGCCACCCGGCACCGTCAGGCGAAGACTTGGATCGGGCAGACCGTCTGCAATCTCTGTCGGCATCGGGCGCACCACGAGATTTCAGCACGGACAGCTACATACTTGCAGCCATGTCCACACAATCCGAGTGAGCATCTGCGCCCGATCACACAATAGCATTGGACAAAGAAGTAGCGTATGGCACGCTCGGATATACACTGTGTAGTACAACCTTGAACCCTATATCTGATGCTTTCTGAAGCTCTGGTCATTCCTGGGATGTGCTGCCTTACTACATGCTCAGCATGTTGAGCGATGGGAAAACTAGCAATGCTATCGTCTCTCATGATGTAAACCATTGATGTCTTACGCCCCTCTCCCCTTTTGTGGGGAGGATGGTGGAAAAAAACCTAAGACCTAAGTAATCAGATGTAATACAGGAAATGCATCTGGGGGCCACTCCCGCCACGGGCAGGCCCCGAGCTCGGGCTGGCGGGCATAACCAGCAGCCTCACCTGGTTGCGATGAAAAATACCCATCATTTTGTTGCCTCGGATATTAAGTAAGGGAAAATATGACAGATGTAGCACGATACATTAACAGTTTACATGATACATTGCAACCCTTTATAAATACGTTCTATCTTTGACTATGGTCTGTGATGACATGTCCATCATTCATGTGTGGTGCACACTATGGTGTCGCTATGCTGTTTCTACATGCGGTGTCATTACCGGGGCAGGCGCGGAAAAAAACATTCCCAATGATGTGGCTGCCGCTGCGGTGCGCAGCATATTGTGCACCCACATCCGGATCCGTGCAACTGCGTCCCCGAAGAGCCAGATTCCATGCAAGAGTCCACTACATGGACCCCGTAGTTGTGGAAAAGGATTTTGGAGAGCTCCCTTCATTGCTCATTCCAACACACAGGCCACCTTCCGGCCTGGACAACTCTCAATGCTGCTAGTGTTTGGGGAAGCTTCTGCTGACATATCCAGACACTTGAGGGCCTGGGGCATGGAGAACGAAAGCTCGGTCTTTTTTCGCAACAGGACACGACAGAAGGACTCACAGACGCAAAACGAAAAACATCGTAGCCGGTGAATGTGCTGAAATGACTGTTTGGTTATGCAGCAACCTACGTCAGAAATCAAGCACCATTATAGCCAAGCCTCACAAAAAGAGAAAACGCAGAGCGACATGGCTGCACTGCACAAACACTTCACAAACAAGTGCTGATATATCAATTTAGCCCCCCCCCCCCCCTCCCCCCCCTCCAAAACACAGGCTTTCGTGTGAACCGTTCAATTTAGCCCCCCCCCCCTCCCCCGCTCCCCCCCTAAATTGATACTATCAATAATACGCTGGTTTCTGGCCCTGGACTGCCTCCCTGCTAAAAGCAAGACTAAACTCAGGCTCTGCTACGCGAGCTTTCGTGAAATCGATCCCAGCTCGATGACAAGTTTCGACCGACAGATGCGTGCTGCCGGATGCACAGATCTAGTCTATTCGGCAGCAGCGAAGCTCTCCAGTCCCAGGGGACGTGCCCACAGCATCGCATGAACTCAACTCGAAACTCTCGGCTCGTTCCAAAATATTCCAAAGTTCTCTCGAAGCCGCACCCACCTGAAAAGCTGATTCCCTTCTCCGCTTCTTCAACGCGACTTCGAGATCGAGAAAGTAATAGGTCCATTAGGTCTACTCATGACGCTGCTGAGACCACTGCATGACCGCCTTCCAGACGCATCGGGTCTGGTTGGCTTTTTCGCCACATGATCCCACGACCCGACCTCATTAAACTTTCTATAATGTGCCGGGTGCCCAGCAACAAGCCCATTTGCAAGGCGAAGTGTTGTCGCCTCTTTGCTGGATGCCTTGGGTGACTGCAAGCTCTGTTTTCACTGAATCCAAAGGCATAATTACAGTGCATGTTGAGATCAGACATCGATGCATCATCACCATCTTGTTCACGGCGACATACGGCGACCAATAGCATGATCATGACGTTGATTTTCAGCAGGAAGATGATGGTTTCGATTCCTGCCATCTCCACCATCACCGCCAAATGTTCAAATTATCAGAAAGTAGCAACAACAGGAACAAATCTCGAAGGCTGTATAATTCAGCTCCCCATTGAGAATCCCACTGCCCGGAGGACTTCCAGTGGCTCCGGAAGCTTCTCTCCAACCTCATGAAGTTTGTCGCGTGTCAACGAGTCCTGGTGACGTAGGCTATCAGCAGCCCTGCCACGAGTGCAGCTCAAGTGTCGACTGTCTGGAGCAACGCGGTCAGAGCAAAGGCAATTCGAGAATGTGATACAGTCAAAAGCAGTCTGCATCTCAGCTGGGGCGCAGGAACGGCTGACAAAGCGGTGATAGCGCGTTGACGCAGACTGAGGTAATGGCATCCGGAGAAAGGGAGGCCTGAGCAAAGCTGGAGCTACCAATGTTGTCGGCCGCAAAACCACGGGGACTGAATTAACATGTTTTCAAGTGCCGAGCAGGAGCTGACACCCGCCTCTTTGCTACCTGCCAGGGCAAGTAGTCGGCTTCGACATGACTCTTTGAAAGCATAAATTCGCTTAGCGCCGCCGCTGCCTGCAACTCTGTCCCCATTTCGCCCAGCCTCGCTTTCGTCGAGTTCATCGACGTTGCGCAGGACTGATGCCTCGGTGCAGTTCTCTGTTGTGCTATGAGCTTCTAGGATTTTAGAAGCTAAGGCTGCAGGGGTGGACTCCGATTCAGATATCGCACTGTGGAGAGCTAGGCAAAAAGCTGCGAACCGATCGCTGTCATCGGACACGCCAATGCGCTGTGTGGATTGTTGGTTCCACCAGTTTCGGCACTATCTTCTGAATGCGGCCTTCGGTTTGCAGATCAACCGATTAGTCCTTGACTGGCTGAGCTGACTGGTGTCCACTGATTCGCTCTCTAGATATCTACAATCAGAAAGAAAATGCTGAAGCAATCTGCCGCTGTGTGCAGTGTCCATTGCTCCCGTTCAATGCCACTGAATTCAAGAAGTCAGTTGTTCTTCTAGCGCCGACCCAAGGCAATAGTTGCCGAATCTGCTGCCGCTAGATAAGTCGTCACGACGTATCACGCAATCAAGAAGACGGCAGAAGGAAGTAAAAGTAACGAACATGCTTGACAAGCAGTGGCAAGCACGTGTTCGTCTTTGCAGCGCTGCATCACCGGACGGAGGTCTTCAACATATTCGAGAGGCAGTGCTGTTCCGGATCTCAGAACCCTGCAACTTCTTCGGCCGTCGGTGCGGTGAACGGCACCTTCCCGACAGCAACATGGTGCAACTGGCGATCAGCGGCACTGCTGCAGCTTAGGACTTAGAGCCCGCGCAGCGGGCCCATTCTGTGGCATCAACATGGAAATGCGAACCAGCTGCCTTGCGGCCCGTTAACTCCTCCGTGACCTCGGTCACGACGGTGCTCACTGAGTCTCTGAGTGTGAAGTTACCAGGTACTGCTGGAGACCAAGTCAAGCATGAATGTAACGGCACGTGCAAGCACGGCCGTGTAAGAAGACTTCTCTTGCCAGATCGATGCACTAAACATGATCTTCGTAGGGTCTGCGACGGTGGCAGGGCACGAGACAATCACCGATCCACGCCTGAGTGAGTCCGAAAGTATCTAACTACACACCGCAGTTCATTGCAATTGGCCACTGGCAAATTCCGCTTCAATCTCATCTTGCCAAAACAGCAAAGGACTGAGGACTGCGGACACAATATCCTACGTGCTATCTCCGCAGTGCTTAGGTCTGGACGCAGTGGCTGCCCCGCCGGTGGCACTGCCACCAAAGTAGCCCAGCATGGACCTGAGACATTTGTTTGTGCGGCGGTCTTGCAATGGATCGGCTGCTCGTTGTTGTGGGTGTCACACAAGATCCCGTAGGCCAGTATCTCTCTTGAAGCTTTGCCCAGGCATGACAGGTTCCCGGCTTCACTGCCTGGTTGAAGCGCGTCAGATCGATTTCCTGCGGCGCTTGCTGTCTAAGTGAGTCTTACACATGTTGTCACCATGCCGGTTTTTGCCTCTACAACATGCTGTGTTACTGTATGGGCTGGCAGGCCTCCGCAGCTTGGCGCAGGGCCTGGCTGAAGGCCGGTGCCTGACAGTCTCAAAGGCATAGCCCTGTTCTTAAACTATTCACAATACATTGTTATAACATCAAACATCATGCAGTTTAAAAAGAGTATATATACTCGATTTAAACTGTATGATGTTTGCTGGAGTTATGGGGAACTCGGCCTCAGTGAGCAAGTGGCTGCCTGGAAAGGAAGCAATCATCGCCTGCAGCTGGGCGGGGACCACGGCACAGCGACTTCGTACAGCTGCAAAAGTCCCTATATAGGTACTTTAAGGCCTAAGGATATACTGTAAGGGTACCTGGAGCCTTAGGGTTATAGATCCCATAGTGAAAGAGTCAAACACCCCGAAACTCATGTCTTGGGTACTGGCATCCACAACCTCGCGGGAGGTTCCCGCCTTGTGTGTGCTGGATACTGCATTCGACAAGACCCCAGGATGTGGCGAAACATCTGCTCGGTTGTTGCTGGGGTTGCAGCGGCCTCGTAGCCTTTCAAGGTACCTCAGTCAACGTCATGTATAGTCATGTGCACCACGAAGCAGGTAGTGATGCGGCATTGCACGGGTTCTGCCTCGACACGTCTCGAGCACAAGCAACGTCAAGGCAAGCCCAACTCCGACGTCCAGAGCAAGACTCGAGTGAACATCAGACGTATCCCGACGTGTACTGCTTTCCTGTATAAGGTTTGCTGAGGGCAATTGCGGCACAGAAACACATGGACTCCGAGCGCAGCCTTTTGCAGCCCCGTCGCCCATCACAGCCCATGGCTGAGCGTCTGCAGCCTGAACCCAAGGCTGCGCATTCAGAATTCATGATGCAGGAGTTTCAGAGTTTCAGAGTACGCACAAGCATGACCTCCCGGTGCGCAACCGTTTTGAACGGAGCAAGCTGTTTTGCGGTGAGAGACAAAGCTGCCACACCTTCCCCTCTTTGAAAGCATGAAATGCTGCGCTCCACGAGTGAAAAGCCAACCATGCAAAGCTAATCGCAGAGTCATTGCTAAATCATACCAAGCCCCTTAATACAGCAGCAGCCCCAAAGTTCTGCCGCAAGTCTGCAATCAAACTTGACAGTGTCCGACCTCCTTGACACGGTCCAACGTCATACGCTTCGCAAGGTCCAGCCTCATCCACAGGCGGTTCTGGAATTGCCAAAGCTCATCAAACTCATCAACATTGAAAGCCCATCGCTACTGCGAAGGAACACGAACAGCAACCGTCGCCTGAAGCAGCTTACGAAGATTATCGGACACATGTAGGGAATTCCGGGAACATGTTTCATAGCTTGGGATGGCGGCTGTGAATCAGTGAAGGGGCTGTCCGAATCGGCCCAACATCCATCCGAGATCTTCCGAGAAGTGGGCTCCTCTTGTGCGAGACCATGGGAGGAGATGGCAAGGATTTCTTGCAACACCTGTCAAGGGTACATGGAGCACTTTGCGGAAGTGAGCTCGCAACAAGCAATTTGGCGCGTTTGGCAAGTCTGCTGACACTGCTGAGCTGACATCAGCTCAATCAAGATCCCAGAAACATGTTTTATCTTCTGCATGCACGCGGAGATCTCCGAATCCACTCTGAGCCCCGTCTTCTCATGGCACCAAGACACAGCTGGAAAAAAGATCTGCCTCTTCACAACGATCTTTCCAACGGTTGGGCTCGGTCTTGGATGGCACTTCACAGCATGAGCCACAGCCACACACACCACGGACCCTCGCTCGTTGCATTGGCTATTGCTTGCGTAGACGCAAGATATTGGAGCTTCCGGGGCTGGGGAGTATACCTGCAGTGAAGGTTATCAGCTCGAAAAGCCCCTCGGCATGGACAGACCTGACTTTTCGCTTCGGGTTCCAACAACGTAATTCTGATTGGACCTGAGCGCAATTACTCACCACGTTGCGAGTACAGCTTGTCATTCGCGAATGCCAGAAGCTTCCCAAAACCGAAATCAAACGGAAAACGCTTCCCTTCAACGGGTGATGCAACGAGTATCGCTTCGCCATGCCAGGACTGTCAGACGCAAGGCTACATGTAAGTATTAGTGATCCTCAGGACCGTAAAGAAATCTCAGCCGCCTCTCAACGGGATTGAGCCCAAGCAGCCATGATGGTCAGGCTAGTGATGGACACAGCCTCTCGAGCAGTATCCTGAGAAACGGATGTAGTCTTGGCAGCTGCAATCCAAGTGTGCCATGACTTCCTCGCTCGCTGATGGCCGTATCAGGACAATCCGTTACCAATCACACTCAGTAACACATGGAAGTGCTCTGGATGCAGTGCAGCCTGATTGCTAGTGCTCTCCCGCCGTGGACAATATACTCATGTGAGCAGGCAAGAGTCGTAGGAGTGGAGAGTGCAGGGGATCACTCCAGATCGCCAACCTGAGTTTCTCAAGGCCGCGACATGGCCCGAGGCACTCAACGCGTTTGCTTTGCACAGGGTCGAGGCTACACTGCAGGTTGGAGGTTGGGCAATTAATAGCTCGCCCGGCTGAAGCTGGCCAAGTTCTGCTTGTGATCGATGTGCCACAGTCTTACACTACTGCACCGCAGGAATGCAAGTCAACAGCGATACTCTTCAAAGTGTCTGGCGTGCGGAGAAGCGCAGGCGCACCGCCTGTGCAAACGATCATTAGAGTGGCAAAACTCTCATTATGCTCCCATGGCCAGCCAACAGTCACGAGACCCGGTGCAGTATCACAATGCTTGCTTCACCTGTCGTTTTGTCGATTGCATGTGGCCTCAACAACCAGGCGCTGGCAAAGCCACTCCGAGAGATCGTCCAGCGTCCTGGCGAGCAACGCAGTGCGTTTGCTCAGGATCCAGTTGTAATTCTGCTTCATAGAGTTATGCTAGTGCCCGTGAGCTGAGGAGAAGATCTGCCAATTTCTCACAACCTTGGGAATCTCCTGGCCGGCGCCATGGGCATCTTCGCGGCCCAAGCAATCTGACAGGAAGTGAGTCGGACGGGACGGGGATCAATCACGTTGAAGCGTCAGCGTCTGAGGAGAACTCGTCTTTGAGGAACATGGGAAAGAGAACTCGTCCAACTCCAGAAGGTGCCTGCATGCCCTGCAGCAAGTCATTGGTCGAAACATTCACCTGCGCCGTCTGCACAGGGTCGACATGATGTGCCAGAGCAGCGTTCGTGAGGACAACAGCATAGAATGCGAAAGCTGTCATACCAGTGCACAGCACACAGCACACCATCCCCCCGGCCCGAACTTCCCGAACGAGGTCGTGAGATCCAGAAGACTGGCTTTCTGCAGAGGCGTAGGCAGACTGGGCTGTTGCCTTGAGGTCGGTACTCCAATCTCTGAGAGCAGGGGCTCCTGGGGAAGATACAGGGAGTCCACTACGACCTGAACGAAGGCATTGAGCGCCTCTAGTTCCCTCTAAAAAATGCAGAGAGTATGCTCTGGCTTGCGAAAGCATGCAGGCGTCCACAATGTATCTAGTTTGCGTGCAGAATAAACCCGTCTTATGCTGTCGCACAGTATTCGTCCGTCGCCTTCTTCTGGGCCATCGATTGGCTCCACGAAACCTTGGCAAAAAACATTATGAAATGACTGTTAGCATATAACGTTCAGTTCATGCAGCTAGACATTCTCTGCTTCTGGAGGAGTGTCTCGGGGTAAAAGCTTCCGTTCATGTGTTGCTTCCGTGTTTCTGCCCCTCGGCTACTCATCCTTCATGGATGCGCCAGGCTCAGACATCGCCCCATGCAGGCCAAATCTTCACGGGCAAGTGCAGCGGCAAACTCCGAAAGATAGTGCGCGCCGACGCTTACAACAGGGCAAAACCTAATCGCGACTTCTGAACGAGGCTTGCAGCTACGCGGCTGTGCAGCACCGTTGGCCGACCTTCGATAGCCGGCCTTGGAGTGAAGCGTTGCTGATGCTCGCAGCTGCTGGTCTCCATTCGGAACTCTGCAGACCAAATCGTGTTCAAACTGGACTTGCCAGACTCCCTCAACGTTATGGTGCTTGGCATTTTTCCGAGGAGCACTGCAAGTCCCAAGGTGAACTTCAGAGTTGTGATCCCCATATCCATCCCTAATATGTTGTTTTCGGTCAATTCGACTTGTGCCCGGTTCCGAACCTCAGAAGCGAGGTGGCGTCCAAGTCCCAAGGCTGACCGGTGGCCAACCCTGCCTCAAGTCGGTTGGAGCGTGTCCAGTGGATGCACCGTTGCAGGCTTCTGATCAAGGCTGCAACACTGGAGATGCTCTTGAAGGTCTGCTCAACCTGCGCAATTCTCAGGATGCCGGAGCAACATCCGGTTGCTATCACGTCGGAAATCCGATCGTGACCTTCATACAGTCGGTATTGGGCTTTGCTGGAAGGGCTCCGACTTGAAAAGTTATCAAAGCAAGGATCCCCTTCCTTGTGCGGTCTTTGCACCCTTTGTGGAACCTGCCCTGCTGGGTCTAGTTGCCACCTTCTCCACTGCAATATCTTCATCCACATCGCCGACGATGAAGAGGGTCGCGTTCTCTGGCACATACCACCTGAAGCAACAAGCCGACGAGGCATCAAATCGCTGCTCTTCAGAGCAAGAAGGCTGCTCTTGGGGTCAAGACTTCGATGCTAAGACGAGCACCGAATGTGAAAGGACTGCAGGTCTTCTACGGTCCAGTTGGCGATCTGATGCTCCAAGCCTTGACTAAGAGGCAACACGGGATATCTTCAAATCATGCAGTGAGCTGTCAGCGACCTGGGTCCCCTGCCGATGGGAAATCTCACATGGATCGGGTTGTCCTCGTGCATTGCTGCCAGGAACTGCGTCTGCCTCAAGGTGTGTAGTGTGACGGGGCACTGAAACGCATCCAACGCAATTCGCGATGCAGCCAGAGCAGTGCTAAATTCTTGTTGCGCAATCAATCCCACAAGCCAGAGATGCAGCAGCGGATTATCGGCGCAAGTTCTGTGACCATAAACATGCTGCATACCGCCCCGGTATCACAAGAAGGCGTGTTGTCAAACAATGCTGGGCTCCCAGGCAAGCGATACTGCACATCGTTGACCATTTGAGCTTCGGAAAGAACAGCTGCACGCTCCTTCGCAAAGGTGCCGTACATGGTGGGTGTGTTGTTGCGTCAGGACAGCACCTGCCCATCCGGAATGTGTCATAAGCCGGCTAAAACTACTCAAGTACATGGGATGGGATGGCCGCCACTGTCAGGTAAGTGCCGTCCCAGAGAAAGATCAGATTGCTTTTTGGGTCTCGCATGGCTAATCCGATTGATGATGGTCCTTTTCAACGCGCTCCGGGCGGAAGGCAGGATTGAAACCTTTGCACTGCACAACTGTGACACATCTGCCTCTGCCTATATGTCACCATATGTCGCAATGTCACGTGCATGTACTGTGCACGAACTGGTCAACTCTTACAAAATGAGGCGCGGACCAATATCTGCAAGTGCCTGCCGAGCTCAGGTCATGGATTCTTGTGCACGAGAGGCCTTAATATCGACCACACTATTCTGCCAATGGGCCCGGCAATCGTCTAGCAAAGACGTGGTGAAAGATGTGAACATACACGCATGCATTCTCGCTGTTGCGGCCGCATGTGTTTCTTCTCGAAACATCCGGAGGCCTCTTAGTAAGCGAACGAAAGAGGCATCCTACGTGTCAGTTCGCCAGTTCTGTTGAGAACTGACGACTTCAGGCTTTAGCCTTCGTTGCATAAGAACTTCGCCCTGTCCTGCCTCCAGTCCTTGGCTCAGGTACTCAGTGCCAAGGCTCAGGTGGTAGACCTTGGGGTTGTATCGGCTGGATGAGAGGGCGTCAATACCATAAAAAAACTCAAGCGCCGCACCGTGTGATTGAAGTCGGTGCACGCGTTGCTGGTCATGCCTTGTGGGCATGCTGACTCTCTGCAATGTCACCCTCTTTAATTGTCCGTAGTCCGCAGACGATGACCTCTGTTTGCTTTACTCGGTCTGAATGCAGTTTAGGCGGCCCAGACCACCGCTCTGCAGCTGCATGCGGCGTTCGGAGCCCAGGAAACATACCTTGGATGAACAAAGCGGTCTGCTGGCAGCAAGAACGCGAGCTGTCATGAGTCATGGGTCCTCGTTGCTCCACAGCCCAAACGGCAGGACTCAAACGATTGGGAGAAGGATGCGGTCTGGCTTCGAGTGTTGAGCTTGCAGTTAGCCCGTACAGCTCTATCTTGATTGTCTAGGGCCTCGAAAGCCTTTTGTCGTCTAAACATGTCTAAACTTCCAGGAACGTCCTTTTCTCCCTCTTGGCTCGGAAGCCCCGATGATTTGCGAAGTCTGGCTATGAACATGGCACCCGTGGCACTGGAGCGTGGATCAAACCTACACGCGCCGGACAGCTTGAAAGCGGGTTTACATGGGACAGTCCTACTCTGTATGATGCATCGCGCGTGATGTGACAATGTGTTGCTTAAGGCTTCGGATCCTCCTGCATGGCCAGTCACCGCGTCCGTTGGCCTATAGCTGCCTGCAGCATTCTCCTTGTGCATGCTTTGACGGCCAGCGTCTACGGACGAACCTCTTTCGTCAGTCTCCTGCTTTGATGGCATTTCCCACGGGAGTTCATCAGCTGCTGCGTGTGGCTCCAGCTCCATAAAGCGACGGACCACCTCTTCGTTCTGCGCCTCGGAAAAGCTGCAGGTCGAATAGACGAGTACCCCGTTCTCCTTGAGAAGTTGAAAACCTCGCTGTAGAAGGTTGCACTGCAGCTGGGCTAACTCCCGCCGCTTCTGCGCGCTCAGCCATGGCATGTGTTCCTCCAGGGCTTGAAGATTGGAGACACGCCCACGATTGTCGAAGAATTTTCGTATGTGCTTTAACGATCCATCGTGGGCACACTCTGCATCAACAATCACACGATCAAAAAGTCCCGGCGGACTACTTGTACCTGCTGCAGTCTTCTGCCTTTTTCTCCTAGCCTGCTTTCTGTCACCACGCGTAAGGCCCTCAGACAAAATCTCCTCTCCGTCACCATTCCATGTCTGCCCGTCCGCAAGCCACAAACCCTTCACGGACTCGTGGACCTGGCATCGCTTCACCTGACTTCTTGCGACGGTAAGCCTTTGATGGGAACAGTCCACACCCGTCACGGAGCAAATGTCAGCTATGCAGCACAGTTTAGTTCCAGGGGCACAACAGATCTCCAAGACATGATCTCCCGGCTTCGGTTCTAAAGCCCAAACCGCCGCTAAGCTTGAAGCATCCATTCCAAACGCGGCACCGCGCTCGTAAAGGGCGCTTTTTCGGATGTTGGCCGTCTCTGGCACACGAAACAGCCGAAGCTTCGAGTGTTGTTCGGCAAATTCCTTTAGCCACTGGACTTCCAAAACTTCTTCTACGGAGCAGCTGAGGTTCTCCGCTATGCCGGTCGGGTCCAAAGACGAATCCCTGATTCGGACATACCTCTCCTCAGGCATCTCCAAGATAGCTTTGTATTCATCGGCTGTGAAGGGACAGCTTGCCAGGTAGTCACGGAAGATGTCTGGCAGTTCGATTGAGCTCGCCATGCCAGTGCTTCACAATGACGCGAATGCAGGCACATCATTTGGATCGATTCGTGTGGCACAATCACAACACATTGGCTGCATGGGGTTCAAGCTACAATAGTTCAGCTTCGCCTACAAGTGTCTGTGGGCAGCGACCAGAAGCGTTTCTGGGGAATCCTGAAGGTCTAGCTGGTGGGGAAGAAAGAAGACCTGCGGCAATTCTCCTGAGAGAAAGAGAGAGAGAGAGAGAGAGAGAGATATACACATACATACATCCTTGCATGCATGCATGCACGTGCTTGCAGTATGCATACATGAAAGTATACATGTATGTAAATGTGTACAGTATTATATATATATATACACACATGTAGGACTGGTTGTATGTATGTAGTTTGTGTATATAACTGTATGTGTGTATGACTGTATGTGTATGCGTGTGTGTATCTGTGGATGTGTGCATGTGCGGATGTGCGTACGTGTGCTGGGTGGGTGGGTGGGTGGGCGGGCAGAAGGGCGGGCGGAAGGAGGACGAACGGGCGGAGGCATGCATGGGTACATGTATGTGGGCATACATTTCTGTGCAACACATCTTCAACCTTTGGAAGGCTTCTTTATCCAATGTATGGGGAGCTCGCCATTTTCGGTCACATCTTTAGTTGTTCGACGGCCAGCATAGTATGTCTGCATGTCTGCATGCACGCATGCATACATACACGCATGTAGGGGCGTCTGTCTGTCTATTTGTCTGTCTGACTTTCTGTCTGGTTGCCTGCCTGTCTGATCTGCATGCATGTACATATGCATACATGCATCTGGGTGTATGTACGTACATATGTACAGTATGGGGCGTCTAGCAGTGTGGTTGTCTGTCTGGCTTTCTGCCTTGCTGCCTTATGTTTGCATGTATGCGCGTATGCAGGCGCACGCCTATGTATGTATGTGTGCCTGTATCATGCATTCATGCTGATGCGCACTTTGGGTGCTACAATAATGTTTGCACTCAATTCTTCAATTTGCTTTGCTATTGCATGCTCGTGACTTGGGGTGTTCGCTTCATCAATGTGCTCTTTCTAACTATTGTCAATTTGCAGCTGTCACTCCAACTGTATGCAATATGTGGTGCCATTGTTGTGCATGTGATTTTGCTCCCACTTGGCGCGACTCTCGCCGCGCATTGCAGGTTTGCGATATGTAGTCATCAAGTCTGTGCCAAAAGATTTGTCTTTTTACGAATGCATGAAAACGAGCTTGCAGTTCAAATTGCAAATCACTAGCACAAGAATGATTCCAGACTTCCGCAGCTTTTTGGAGCACCCAAAGCACGAGACGGAGAAGCCTAGGTTCAAGCCTAAGTGAGAAGCGTGCCGCAGACGCACTACAGTACTTTGAACGCAACGGATACCTCCATGATGCTTACCACCTCTTCTCTTCTCTTCCTAGCATTCTCCCGGCCCCTTCTTCTGTTTTCGGGACCGAGTCTTGATAGAATCCCGTCATTTTCGCATTACCGGGTGGGAAGGGGGATGAATCCTCTGGATGCACACTTACTGCAGCAAGCGTGTACATAACTGCATAGCATAAGCGCGCACCGAAAGACACGCTTGGAGACAAACAAACAAACAGACAGCCAGCCAGGATGGCAAGCCGGCCAAGGAACGAAGGACGGACGGACGGACATATACACATGCTCATTGACGTGCTAACATATCCGTGTCGACCATCGTGTCGACCTGCATCTTCGCCAAGTTTCGCTGTGCACGAAGCTGAGTGTTAGTGGCAGCATGCGCTGGGATGCCGGCATGTTCGAGCATGTGGGCCATCCCACGCTGATTCTGCGGCAAGGCGAGGTGTGCACAGATCGCATGCACTGCGAGGCCGAAGCGGAAGCACGTGTCCCAGTGCAAACCCGGGCCAGTGACGCAAAGCAGTCGAGTACCAGGGCCTCTTGTTCATCGATGGACCCCACGTGAAACTCCAAGTGCGCCTGATGGTCACAGGGCACTCGCATGATCCTTACGAGCAGCGACAACAAGCGACGGGGTCACTCCACTTGACGACTCGGTCGGCTGAGATTTAGGGCTCTTCACAGCTTTCACACCCGTTTAGCGAGTAAGCCTGGCCTCGACCCGTCCAGCTGGGACTTGATGTCGGAGAATCACGTATCTCATGCCATTCGCCAGCACCCCGCGCCTTCCAGGCATGGAAACCCGTGCAATCGCCCGCTTGCATTTCAACAGCACCAGTATGCACCCGAGTGCAGCACGAGAAGCAACGTCATGTTGAGCCGTGCTTTTGTCCGGTTTGCGTGGGGGTGCGAGAAGGACATCCTTCCGCATCAACTTCAGTAGCGCTTCCGTAGTGCCTTTTCAATCGGTCCGCGGGAGTTGGTTCTGCAGGTCGAGGCTCAAGTCTTGAGGGCAAACTTCGCTAAGGCCGCTAAGGTCTGCACGCACTGTTGACGGTGTGAAACGAAACGGCGTTTCCAGATGGTAAGGAATTTCGGTATTGAGTCCTATACTTCGGTTAAGCGCCGTTGGGGTTGCCGAAATGCCACCTAGGAAGGAATGCTGCTGACAAAAGGCCATGACGATGACTGCAAGTTGAATTCTGCTGGGCTTGGGGTCAACTTTCAAAGGTCCACCTTCCGCCAAGCTTCCACGCACGTCCTCTATCCTCCAGAAAAATCATGAGGATGATTAAGATAAAGCTTAAGATGAAGAGGATGGTGATGCTAAGGCGAACGTTTCTTCGACCACGATGAGGAATTAAGAAACTTGCCGGCGCTTCCCAAGCTTGAAAACAATTTGCAACGGAAAGCGGGCACACGGCCATAAGCGGAAAAGTACAGGCCTGCAGGCATACAGCCATGCAAACAAATTTCAAGAAAGCAAAGACATCTTGCAACTGCGGACTTCGGCTTCGGGAGTGCGGCTCTGGCCGTTTAAAGTTGGTTCCCCGGATCCATGTGCAGTGCCTCTGCTCAGCTAACTTCGGTCAGCACCCGTAATCTTCTCGAGTTTACTGCTGGGTTTACGGGGCTATTTTTACGCAGTTTTCGACGCGAACACTCGCACGAAGCAGGATGCACAGGTTTTTTGCCTCTTCATGGAAGGGTTAGATAGTCGGTTGAAGCCCTACGTTTCGGCGCTCATACATGACAATCCAGGCGAGAGAAGAGGTCACAACAACGACTCACAGAACGCCAGGCTAGGACAAGCAGCTCCATGCTGTCACCCTTCGTCTTGGGCATCCGACCCGGGAGACTCGTCGTTCGCCGATCTCCGGGTCGCTGTCGTTGGCTTGTGTGCCGAGAAGACTTGGCCTTTTCCCGACGGAGTTTCCTGGTACTGTGCAGTGCCGAGGGATATCGTGGGAGCGACCGGGCGGCCATCAGGCATATCTCATATCGCAGCTGTGGTCACTTTGCTGGTCTTGACATATCGGCAGCCGTAAACACAGCGCAGCAGGAGTTGGAGGCACGCTCTCCGTGTCAACGTGCATCTCTGAAACAGGAGAGCCAGTGCCCATGCTGCCACTGTCGGTGCTTCGTGTGTCCGGGTTATCTTCCTGGCTCAGTGCCAGCATGCTGTAAGCGCTCAGCAGCAATTGGAGGTGAGCCCTCCGTTGCCACGGTCTCCCCCGACGTGTCACGGAGGGTTATATCCTGTCAGCATCGAAGCTGTCTTCGCTGCCGCTGCCAGTGCTGCCAGTGTCGGTGCTTTCCGTGTCAAGCATCTTCCTGACTCTCTGCAGGGCAAGCATGCCGCACGCGCAGCGGTACGTAGTCGAATACCCGCCCTTTGCTACTACGGGCTTCTCGGCGGCAACTGGTTCTGCAGCCTGCGACTTCGCTTTGCAGCACTCAGGCTCGAAGAGCTTCCCCACAGCTTCGAGATTAGGTTCTGGTCCGCACCCCGCTGCAAGCAGCAATGAAATGACTGATCTTGCAGACCGAGGATCAGGTTCTGCTGCAGACTCGGCTGATGATTGCTCTGCGCCGGCTGGTAGTGGAGAGCATTCACGAGCAGATTTCTCCATGTGGTGTGTCTGCCTTCTATACTAGAGAGCAGACACACAGGGGCAGGTAGTCTGCAGCAGTGGAGTGTAGACTAGCTAGACTCCACTGCTGCAATCTACCCACCGCGGTTGAAAGATGTTGAAAGAACTGCTGCTCACTAAGCAACTTTTATCTCAATTGAGCTGCGAATGGGATCGCTCAGACGATGTTGGAGCCGGACTGCTTGTTTTGGACTTTGGGTCTTGCTTCTTGACATCCCGTGCCAGTTCGCTGAGGCTTTAGGTTTCCATTTCGGGGGGTTCTGGGATATCTAGGCATGACTTATCCTGACCTTCCGCGGAAAGTGCTTCCGTGCACGCAGTCCCGCGCAAGGCTTTCCAGCGGAAACGATTCATGTTGCACGACCTAGTCGTTCTGAAAGGAGCGCGAGCAAAAACCGCGGCTCTGAAACAATCGGTCAGTAAAATGGAGTCCGAAAGCCTCTCGCGTGCGCCGGAGCCATCTGTCTGCACTGTTGCCGGTGTCTCCTGCGAGGGTCAGAGCACACCTAGTTTTGCCAAGTTCAAGGCTTCAGAGCCCGGAACCCTCACCATCAACATGACAAGATCACTGATGATCAGGCTCGTCCCAGACATCCCACATTCAGACATGCGTGGCGCATCTGTGCAGGGCCTGCAGGGCAGTCGCCTTTGATGTTAAGGAACTCTTGCGTGAAGATGATTTCTTCCTTGCCTGATGCAGCAACACACGAAGCAAGGGCGGCACTGCACCTCTCCAACCTCGACATATCGCTCTACGACTGTGCTTTGATCATGGAGATGTGGAAATCGAGAGCCGCATCAACAAAGTCTGGGCCGCTTTCAAGTACACATGCTAGACAAGCTAGAACTAGAACAACCCATCGCCTGGAATACCGAGCTAGGCCAGACATCCAAGAGAAGAAGCGAGCAAAGTAGCTACTTGCGTCGATGTGCCTCGAGGTGCTAAGACTGCTAAGATCAAGTAGCCAAATTGGCCTTTTTATGGCGATAGCTCATGCAGGTGCGAGATGACCTTGGTGCCCGGGCCAACGAGGTGCCTGGTCCACGTGTTTGAGCAGGTTTCCTGTCAAGGTAGGCCAAGATCTGAATTGCGAAACACATCCTGGATGTGCAGCCCCGGTGGGCAAATTCAATGCCACTCGAGCAGCTTGATTTGCACATAAGTAGCCGCCCTTTGTTACACCGGGCTCGTGGGAATAGGTGGTGCGTAACTGAGGTTAAGCATGATGCAAGTTATTGACTGGAACGACTGCTGGGGCATCAGAAGAGCAGTCCAACCAAAATACTCAATGCTGATGGGATCTCTTTATGCCTGCACGCAGATTTCATAGACGGCGCATGTGCAAGATCAGTGGTTCCGGTCCCGAACAATCTACAATCCATCCCACCAAATTCATCACGCAAAGATGCACCGGTCATGGGTCCTCACCGAGGTGACAAGCTGTGTTTAAAGCATGTGCGAAGCATCTGCAATATGTATGTACCTTCACGCCGCGAGCCACTGTAAAATTTAAATGTAAAGTTAGCGACCCGATCATGGATGCATGCCACGTAATACCCGAACAAGCTCAGTGTGGCCTTTTCACGTAAGCAGCCTCCTTTTGCCGCTTGTCGCATGGCCCGGCTAGGGTTGGTTGGCGGCGCATCACAAACCAATGGTCTCCAGACCAGCACAAAGGCATCGTGACTCCGAACATGTAATACAGTACGAAAACACCCAACAACGCCGGCAGTGCCGGTAGCCCGACTAAGGGAAACCCGTCGTTATGAGCACTTGTCCAAACTGAAGGTCGTCAACTTTACGAAAAGGACAAGTGGCGGAGGCTAGTTAGTTTATTCTAAGAGAAACAAACTTTAGCAATTTACTTCCAGGGTTTAAACGATTAAACCAACTAACTCGTCGGGCCGGAGTTTGTTTTTCTGAAAGAAACTAACTAATATGCTTCGGGGAAGAGGGTGAGGGGGGGGGGAGAAACTAACTAACTCGCTCGCCCGGGGTTTGTTTCTTCGAGAAGAAACTAACCCTGGGTGGAGGAGTTTGTTCCTCCTACAGAAACAAACTCTGGGGGAGGGGTTTGTTTTCAGAAAGAAAAACAAACTCCGACGGGGGGGGGGGGGGCAGGGGAGTTTGAAACTGCCTAACTCGCTCGGCCGGGGTTTGTTTCTTCCAGAAAACACTAACTTTAGGTGGAGGAGTTTGTTTTTCCTACAACAACAAATTGTGGGGGAGGGGTTTGTTTTCAGAAGGAAAAACGAACTCCGAAGGGGGGGGGGTGTGCAGGGGAGTTTGAAACTAACTAACTCGCTCGGCCGGGGTTTGTTTCTTCGAGAAAAAGCTAACTTTAGGTGGAGGAGTTTGTTTTTCCTACAACAACAAACTCCGAAAGGGGGAGTGCAAGTGAGTTTGTTTTTCCTAAAAAAAAGACCTCTGGGGGGAGGGGTTGAGTTTGTCTCTCCGGAAGAAAACAAACGCTTGCGGATCATCTTTGTTTGGGTCACGAAGAGCCAGCTTGGAGAGGAGAGGAAAACAAACTAGATTGAAACTCCGGTTCGACGAGTTTGTTTCAGCGGGTACAAACAAACTCCGACCAGGGAGTTTGTTTCAGCGGTGAGATGCAAACTCCGATGGGAGAAGTTTGTTTGTTTAAGTGGCGCTAGGCGGCGGCGCAGGGGTGCAGGGGGGGTTTGATTTTCCTACAAAAAGAAATTCTGGGGGAGGGGTTTGTTTTTCCTCGGAAAAACAGACTCCGAGGGCGGTTTGTTTTCCATGTCTAAACTAACTTGCCGAAGGCTTGTTGTTCTATGTCTAAACTAAATAAACCCCATAAAAGGTTTGTTTTCCATGTCTAACTAACTTGCGCCTACCCGGTACTCCAAAAGTTTGATTTTCTGTGTTTAAACTAACTAAACCCTAGAAAAGGTTTGTTTTCCGTGTCCAAACTAGCTTGCCGAAAGTTTGTTTTCTGTGTTTTAAACTAACTAGAGCCTATATGTGAAAGTTCTGTTCTTCATGTCTAAACTAACTTGCGCCTGCCCGGTACTCCGAAAGTTTGTTTTTCTGTGTTTAAACTAGCTAAACCCTATAACAGGTTTTTTTCCATGTCTAAACTAACTTGCCGAAAGTTTGTTTTTCCTGTGTTTTACACTAACTAGACCCTATATGTGAAAGTTCTGTTTTTCATTTCTAAACTAACTTGCGCCTACCCGGTACTCCGTTGTTTTGTTTTTCTGTGTTTAAACTAACGCAACCCTATGAAAGGTTTGCTTTCCGTGTCTATAAACTAACTTTCCGAAAGTTTGTTTTTCTGTGTTTAAATTAGCTAAACACTGTAACAGGTTTGCTTTCCATGTCTAAACTAACTTGCGCCTACCCGGTACTCCGAAAGTTTGTTCTTCTGTGTTTAAACAAACTAAACCCCATAAAAGGTTTGTTTTCCATGTGTAAACTAACTTGCCGACAGTTGGTTTTCTGTCTTTAAACTATAACTGAACCCTATAAAAGGTTTGTTTTCCATGTCTAAACTAACTTGCGTCTGCCCTATTTGACGAAAAGAGGCCACGGTGAGACACTTCCCCGCGGCCCAAGACGGGGCCTCGATGCTGCGGCCGCAGCCAAGACCGTGGCACCCGCGGCAATGGTCGAGGACAGACCTGTGCCAGTAGCAACCGCATGCAAAGTCGCAATGCTCATAGCGTTCCTACACCACCAGCATTGACCGTTCCCAAATCGAACTCATCAGGAGTCCAACGCACCTCGATCTGGAGCCTCATACGCTGCCCGGTCGCGGCGCAAGCCGAGTCTGCAGGTGTCTTCGAAAGTTTCATCTGTCTCTAGAAGTATGCGTGCATGTGTTGCACATAAACATGCTTGTTGGTGCCCAGCCATGCGCTTCCAAAACAGAATGCTGTCAGAATAGTGGGAATACCACCACGATAATATCTAAAGCTTGTGGCTTACCATTGCACACCTACTGTCCTCGAATGACCAAACAAAGCGAAATTTGACCTTCCACTCTGTGTTGCCGGCTGGATCTGCTGCGGTTTAGTTTGAGACCTCTTGCAGGGTCTGGGCTTCATGGAGACTGAACTTTGTGAATTGGAAGCTACCCCGCCTAGCGACTGGCACTGCGCGCGGTGCCCCCGCGAGCGTGAAGGCCTAATCAGTGCACGATAGCCGAGGGAAGATCGCGATGTGTCTCCAGGCAGAAACGAATTCAGCTGGGCAGGGTCTGAACGTAAGGCCCTACAGGCTTTGCGCTCACTTCTACCTCGGCTTCAACTTGCGATGTGGCCGGTCGGCCCAACATCGTCCAAAGGATCCGTGGGCCCCAACCTCCGTGAGTGATGCCATGGCAACCACGGAGAATTTTTGTGTAGGAATAGTATCTGATCTCCGGTCAGTCCAACTCTTTCACTATGGTTGTTGATGCTTCGTCTGCTCGAAAGTCGGAATACTGTGCAACCTGCAGCCGGCATGCTTGAACAAATCGTGGCTCGCTATATCGCGCTCGGATTCTGGCGAGTCCTCGGTTGAAGTTGTTGAAGTGGCATACAGCATAACTACATCTAAAAGTGCGCAGGCTGGCATACCATGAGGATACAATTCCGTACAGCGACACTGACAAACAAGCAAGACTTGACTGCTTGCATCCCAGAGAACGCTTAAACAGGGTCTCTTTTTCTGACCGTCCAGTAACTGCAGAGCACCTGTCTAAGCCTGAGCACTTTGGCTCAGAACGACTTTGGGGCTCACACATGCATCACACGCTGAAGGAGGTCGGCCACACGACGGGCGGCGCTCTCCCCATCACGGAGGGCCCCCTGTCAACGCGAAGTCTTACGGCATTTCCGTCACGATTCTGAATGCCCCTGATCACAAAAAAGACACGACGTCTTGCAACCCATTCGGTTTGAACACAAGTAGTGATTAGTTGATCAAATGCGCAAAAGTTCAGTCTCCCTTCTTCCGGAAGAAAGGCAACACATGTCAGAAAGAAGTGCAAGCCCTTCGTGACCTTCGTGCCTACGTTAAATGTCAAGTTTCAGCTATTTAGTGAAGTACGCCGAACGTCTACCCAAAATTGCGGCCAAAAGCTGAATCTGGCAAGCAAACATCGCAGCCGGCACGATTACATTTGGCGTTGTTGTTGTTGTTGTTGTTGTCAATAGCTGGGGTGGGGGGTTTCTGCTGCACCTTTGCTAAAAGCCCGGCACCTCGATGTAGCCGTTGCCAAAGCCAATGTGGTAGTCTGAGCCTAAGCCAGCTGCTTCGTGGCAGTCTCTCAGACACAGCCCGGTTGAATTCCCGGCGTTTGCATCGCATCTGCACCCCTCTGCCTGCCAAAAAAACATTCGGGAGCTTCTCCATCTGCTGGAACGCCGACCAGAACCTCAGAGCCCGCCCCAACGCGCGCGGATCGCCGTCCGATGCTTTGGTCGAAGATCTACTCAGCCACGGAGCTCTGGAACGGACATCACACCCGGCGAGAAGAAGCCGGTGTACGCCCCTCTGGCAAAAGGCTGATCCTGAATAGGTGCTGCGACAGAAAGAAGACCACGGTCTCTCACTTCCTCTAAAACCAAGCATCTGCCCAGTTGTGGGCTACGAAGCTCGGCTTCAATGTTTTCGCCTTCAGGAGTTGTCTTCAGGCTGAACTTCACATTGACTCGACGTCAGTATCTCAGGAGCGTCATGCTACCCTGACTGGCGTTTCGCCTTTGAGCTGTTGAAGCTCATGGCCAGGAACTCAACGAACCTCTCCTGACAGAGCCCAGAAGCCGCACGGTTGCTTTCTGCGCTGTTGCTTGTAGCGTAACTCCTCTGGTTGATTTGGACTCTGAATGACTCTGATCTAGCCTGTATTTTGCCCGAAATTTTACCCTTCGAACCAGTAGATCCAGATAGGACCAGATAGGTATAGGCACCACACACACACACTAAGAGCTGGAAGGCCGCGATGGAGGGAAGAGGCGCAGCCAAAGCTGCTGGCAATGATTTGTGCACAGTGCAGAAGCCCATCACCGTGTAGGTACACGTGATGAAGCACTCGCCCCGGCCGAGCAAAGTTTCATGGAAACAGGTTGAAATACTAGAACACGGCGGTAGCATGAAACGCGTCTGATTGAAATCTGATTGAGCAGCAAGAATACCAAGAGTACTAAGAAGATCACCGGTCACCAATAAAGTATGTTGCACAAAGGTTCACTGTTATTCAGGGGCTCCGAGACATGATACTCTAAGGGTGCACAGAGGCATACAATGTGTATAGGCATATGCGCTTCGACAAGCATACCGACATAAATACATACGTAATCATACATATCTACCTGCATAACTGCATACGTACATACAGGCATACATGCTTGCATGCACATACAAACTATTGCATGAGTGTATGCCTTTCTACGAAACCCTACATCAAAGAAAACATGCACGCAAATGACCCTGGATGGACATACATATATATATATATATGTGCACACACCTACATGTACACACCTATGCATAAATATACACCTACATACACATACGCACGTACATACATACATCTTGCATGTGTATATATATATATATACAAACTAATGTACATATGTACATATACATGTATGTGTGTGTACATATATTCACACCATATCGAATAATATCACGCCATGTCACATCAAACCATATCATGCCAATCAAGTCATACCGTATCAGATCCTATCCAATCACACCATGGATTTCATAAGTATGTACCCCAGAACCAACAATTCGCACTCATGTACTGTTAGGCCAACGAGATTCCTCTTCGAGGGATGAAAACTGCAAGTTCGGGGTCGTTCAGGGTCCGGAGTTCGGCGGCTCGCGACGCGGAATACTCTGATGCTGACTATTGATACGCTCTCATGCTGTAATCCGCTGTTCAAAGATTGCAGAAGATATGCCCTGATATTGTAATATTACTTTTTAGTGTGTCAATACTTCTAGAATTCCAGATTTGCCTGGGCGAAGTCTTCCAGATTTCCAGATTATGCCATGTCTGTCAGATTATGCAACCCGGAATCCAGATTCACAGGGGTTAAGTCTTCCAGATTTCTAGAAGTCCAGATTATACAATTTGGAGTTCTAGAAGTCTAGAACAATCTAGACCAACCTTGCAGGATCAATTCCCTAAATTCCCTAACCCTTATAGCCCTGTGTACTGGATTTAAAAATTCTCCCTAAATTCCCTAAGTCTGACTCTCGTGGTTAGGATTCAGTGTTTGTTCCCATTCGTGGGTAGGGAATTTCGACTCGCACGCTCGCTCCATGCAGGCACGGCTTCATAAGGTCTCCTTGCTACCGTTACTACCGTGATATGCGAGCCGGCAGGTCTGTAGCAGGACAAAGAAGGTAAGCCCGAAGAAGCACAGTGAAAAGTGTAAGACAGTGAGTATGTGTACCTGCCCGGCTCGAGGTTGTGGCTACTGCCTGGTGTTCGGCGTGACCCCTTTTATTTGGGTGTACCGATTCTCGCACCACGATTTGGGCTAGTACCCTTTTCTTAAGGGGAGGATGCCTTAACATCTACTTTTGGGCCTCTACCTGTGCAACTTATACTTCAAACACGATTCAGACCTCTATATAAGTGCAGAACACATTTCGGACTCGTGGGGTCAGGAATTAGAAACATTCGTACCACACCACCCAAGACTTTGAGACCTCGCCCTCGATTCCGAAATCTTCCCTTGACTGAGGACTGAAAGCTGAATAACCACAAAAAACCAGAACCCCTTTCCAACCTCTGTGTTTCCAGCGGCTCGATCGGTGTCCACGGCCACAAGCAGCGATCGAACAGGCAGCTTGGAGGGTTCAGACAGTTCTGGGTAGTGATAAGAGTAGTAGTACTAGTAGTGGTGGTGGTGGTGGTCGTAGTACTGATGGTGCTACTCGTAGTGAAGTAGAAGAAGAAGTAGTAGAAGTAGCAGAAGTAGTAGTAGTAGAAGTTGTAATTAGTCGTAGTTGTAGTAGCAAAAGCAGAATTAGCAGCAGCAGTTTCAGAAGTGGTGGTAGTGGTAGTGGCAGTGGAAGTAGTAGTTGTTATAGTAGTAGTGTAGCAGTAGCAGTAGCCGTAGCGGTAGTGGTAAGGGTAACAAGTGCTAGTAGTATTAGTATACGTAGCACGAAGAGCAGTAGCAGTAGAGGTACTCGTAGTCGTAGCACTTGTCGTTTGTAGAGAACATGCGGCTGCTGCTCGCGACTGCTGGCGACTGCTGGCCCTTCACAGCTGCCTAGCTTCGATGCTCGGAATGAATTAGCTACATGCCCAGCTTCTCGAACTCTAAGTGGTATCGGATGAGCATCCGCTGCATTGTGCGCTGCCCGCATGTACGTGCTGCAACACGCCGTGAAATTCGCGAGCATATGCCAACGAAGTCTTCGCTCATGTCAGTCAAATGAGCAGCCGGGGACATAATTGCCTGCGCTCCGGTAGCCAATATGCGTACCAGTCGAACTTGCACGTGCTTGAACATATGCAAACTCGGTTCGAGGTGGTACAAAGATTTCCCCATCCGGAAAAACTCCATAGCAAGATGCTTGTAGCATGCACAGAAAAGCTCGACCGAAGCGGCTGCTGATTCAGCTTCGCTGCGAGAAAGCCATAAGCCGTTCTTGTGCAATATCTGGAAGAAACGAAGACAACCACAACAAGCATCCTCAATAGCTCTGCAAATCTCACCTTTCTCAGGATCCTGAAGCCACGTGCGCCCGGAACGTCCAGACCCGTCTGGCAAGACAGGCCCATGTCTCAGCAGCAACAGCAGCCATCGCATAAGCATCATTGAATCAGCCGCTTTCCATCCTTACATGGGAAGCACTGCAAACGGGAAGTGCAACGAAATTTACTACTTATATCGAAGCAACAGAAACCCAAACGAACAAAAACGAAATGTACCAGGCTCCACCATATGGAAAACAAGTGCGGCGACCCCAGTGAAAGCCTTCCTTCGAAAACATCTTCAAGTTGGGTGTTTGTTTGATCTCATGCCGGCAGCAAAATACGAAGTCATCGTGTGATAATTCAAGGAGTGCCGCCACACTGTCGTCTGTACCAGGAATGAAGCCCCAATCACCCAGTGCCACCACTGTTGAAGCAATGAAATGTCGAGCTATTCCGAGCTTCACCAAGTGCATGCAGTCTGACCTAAAGATTTTCTCCGGCGCTTGCAATGAAAAAGGTATCGGCAAGAGGCACGATGGCTTTCGACGAGTCCAAGGTCTTTCAGCAAACAGTGTGTCCAACCATGGTGCCGATGAACTCATGTCCTCCCAGGCTCCATTGCCTGGTTTTCCTGCTAAACAAAGGTGGCATACTCCACATGATCCCTGGATTCGTTGAAAACTGCGAGTGAACTGTCCAGCCTTGTTCAAGGCAGGGGAGTCCCCTTTCATCCCGATAACAATCGGGAACCAAACCTCTCCCGATGCATCCTGGATTCCGCTTGTAAATAAATCTGCTAAATCCTGAACAGCAGCACCGAATACGTCGAACCAGAATTGCTTCTGCTTCTTTTTATATGCTCTGTGTGGAAGCACATACAAAAGCAGCCGGGACACGAGAGAGTTGCCCCGCCCCGTATGGTCTGAGCCCTGCCAACAAGTCTCGAACGTCCATCCTTTTGACTCAGCCAGCTTTTGACAATTGCCAAATGATTTCTGTCCCCAAACAGTCTCTAGCCCGACCACTTGAATCGGCGCTTTGCGAAGGCCGCGACCTTCGTCGGCATAAAGCATCACGGGGAAGCAGCGTTTTAAACGGTGACCGTGAGTTTGGTACACGAGGTGGTCACCGTCTTCCAATTGGTAGGCTGCCCAAAAAGCTTCTATGAATGTATCAAGACCAGGGTGACCACGGGGGAACCCGCCGAAAAGCACCCCTGGTTTCCGGCACAAGTAATACTCGAGCACTTTCGAAGGTTTGCACATTGGAGCGAAAAGTATGCCCTTGCTGAAATAGTACATGTCGATGGGCAGAGAAAGCCCCCACTGCCGAATGACCCGGTGCAGCCCAGTCTCGGCGTGTGGCAACGTCGATGCTGATAGTGTTTTCACCCCTTGCAAGAGCAATGGCTGCTCTTCTTCAATAGCTTTGGCAAAGCGAACCACGTTTGCGGCCGTATCCTTATGTTCGCAGAATCTATAGGAATCACCTATGCTCAAGAATGGAAACAATTTGAAATCATACCGTGTGTATCCCATTAAACACCTGCTGTTCACGACAAGCTGCTCCCATTGCCAGTGAGGTAACCAGCTTGCGAGCCGTTGGCCCCGGCTTCCATCCTGCGTAGGGGCATGCACATGCTTATACAGGTTTGTGTGTGTGTGCATCCTTGCCAAAGCCATGTTAATCAAATCGAAACACTTGGTATGTGTGTGCATCCTTGCCGAAACCATGTTAATCGAATCGAAACACTTGTGCCTCAGCGTGCATACATGGCACATCCTTTTTCATCACCCGGCATCGGACAGGTTCGCACTGCACAGCATGAAAGACCGCCCACGGTCCCTCCTAAGCTGCCTGCATTCCCATCTCGATCACACGACGGTCGCTCTACGCAGACTGCTTTCCGGTCTTACGTTTCGGAGCACATTTCGGATCGGCCTTTGGCCCGGGTGCCTGCTTTGCTGCAGCAGCTTTTGCTTTTGCATCCGGTTGCGCTTTGCGCTTCGGTGCCGCTGCTTTTGCCCGCTGCTCAAGACTCACACTCTCGAGGGCCCTCGGATGTACGTATAGTGAAAGT